TTCTCATAGGGGACGTCCATATATGATGTAAAAAAAATACGCCATCGTGGAAGAGACCACCAGTGTACCAGAGAAAATTTTTGTTTTCTAAATTTTCGTGTTTTTACGCCTTCTAGGAGAGCTGCCTTGTTTTTATTGAGAAATTGATATTTCAATCCATACCTTTGATGAATATGAGTTAGAAAAGAGATGCATCACGATTGAAAAGAGAAAGAATGCGACGGGAAAGAAAATATCTTCAAAATTTTTGCGTATTTTCGCTTTCTATGAGAGCTATACTGTGTCATCATCATCGGAAGTTCGCCTAATCATGACCAAACAAATGAGAAAAGAAAACAAAAAGAATCAATTCATTGATTTAATATGATCAGTTTTTCCTGAGGCTCTAGTTTTAGTGAAAACTTCAACTTTCTCATTGAGTTTTCATCGTTGTACAATTCCTTGCGAATCGATTCGCATTTTTCTGTCTGTTGTATCGAGGTAAGCAGTTTTCACGTTACCTATTGGAATAATCCTCATTTCCCGGATAATTTTGGATTGGATTTGATAATTTTGCATTTCATAGAATGCCGCGAAGTGATAGGTGTGCGAATCCGATGCGGATTCCTGGTCAGAAGGGACACAATGGTTTGGATTTGCGGCCCATTTCCTCGGCAATACACAAGAAGTTTCCCTTTCTACCAAAGTCTGTGAAAATCTGTGGCCAGTGCCGGAAGATGGCCTCGAATTATGTGATTCCATCCGTTTCAATGGTGAATCTTCCTGATATACAACTTCGATGTTCGGATACCCCACCCGAGATATGAAAGCCCCAAGCCGAAACACCCGAACCAAGCCCAGATATAATGAACAGTTCTCTGAGATCAGGTCGGTCTTTCCACCTCGACGATTCCGGCATTTCAATCGATGAAGAAGCGGACAATGTATCTGAATTCTCCAGTTCCCCCATGCATTCTGATGCGGAAGATGACCAAAGTGACGCTGATCCTTCTTTATCAAAGCGCTATCGATCTTCGAGAGAAATAGAATTAGAAGAAATGCTGGATGGTTTGAAGAAAAAATTCAATGATCTGGAAAAGTACGGTGAGCGCTTGCAAATCTTGACGGTTGTTCCACAGTCGTGCAGCGAGCGGGAAATCGCTTCTGAATTCGGCATTACGAGATACATGGCGTCAAGAGCCAAAAAATTGAGAGAAATCAAAGGAGTATTTCCCTCACCAATTGCCATTCACTTCCAAAACAAACGGTCGAGAAAGTACACAAGTTTTATCTAGAGAATAGTCGTGTCATGCGAGGGGCGAAAGATAAAGTATCCGTCAAAATCAATGGAGAGAAGAAAGTAGAGCAAAAGCAAATGATACTAGAAAATCTGAAACACTTTCATAGGAAGTACAAAAATACTCATCCAGAGGCTTTGGTTGGTTTCAGTAAGTTCGCTGAGCTGAGACCAAAACAATGTGTACTGGCGGGAGCAAATGGCACTCACGTCGTATGTGTTTGCACGTATCATTAAAATTGCAAATTAATGCTCGAAGCCATCAACATTGCCACTCTAACTAAAGATTCCCCCTGCCCACTCAAGGATTACAAAGATTGTCTAGCACAACTGATGTGTACAAATCCAACCCCGGCCTGTTATCTGGATGAATGTAACGACTGCCCTGGGGTGAAACCCTTCTCATGTGAATTGAAGAAGCTCCTTTCTGATTCTGTTGTCGAAACTATCCAATTTCGCGTGTGGCAAACTACTGACAGGTGTACCTTGCAGACACAAACGCTTGCGATGGATGACTTCGTCGATCTTCTTGTCGAACGATTAAAAGTATTAAAACCCCATCACTTCATCGCTAAAGAACAATCAGGTTTTGTTAAAGATCGAAAAGAGAGTTTGAATAACGACGAAGTACTAGTGCACTGTGATTTCTCAGAAAATTATGCCTTTGTGGCTCAAGATGCTGCACAATCCTTTCACTACAACAATGACCAATGTACAGTCCATCCCGTTGTTTACTATTATCGCGAAGGAAACGAGATCCAGCATCGGAGTTTAGTTGTTTTGTCAGATAGTACTACTCACGATACCGCAGCTGTTTACTTGGTACAGAAAATTCTAATACAACATGTGAAGAATAACTGCAAAGATGTCGAGAGAATCATCTATGTCACCGATGGAGCCACACAGCATTACAAGAATCGTTACCAAATGGCTAATCTTCTGCATCACAAGACTGATTTTGGAATAGATGCAGAGGCCCATTTCCATCCAACCACACACGGTAAAGGAGCTTGTGACGGTGTGGGTACTGTTTTCAAAAGAGAAGCGAGACGTAGAAGCTTGCAAATCGTCCATGGTGAACCCATTCTGACGCCAGATGCATTGTTTCAATGGTCAAAAGAGAATTTCAAAGGAATTGATGTGTTGTTTTTCACCAAGGACGAACATGATAATATAAAAACTGAATTGAGGGAAAGATTTAATAGTGCCAAAGCTATTCCAGCCATTCAAAAACACCAATTGTTAATGAAACGATATTCGACTGCAGAAAACCAAGAAGTTTTTCCGAAACGAAAACAAACAACAACAACAAAACGGAAAGCACTTAGAAAACAGTAATCATGATGAATAGATGTATAGTAAATCAGTACAATTGGGCAAGTGGTAGTTGGAGACAGTAAATAATAACCTCTTATTGTAAAAATGTGAAAAAGTCGTTGCAGTAAAATAAAACTTGTTTTTCCATGTTTCGCACTTCTTTGGATGAGTACTTTGTCTTTCGAAAAAGGTTTATAATGTTGTTGGTAGTCCCTCCCATCTAGCAGAAGGGAAAACTGTCGATTGAAAGGTGAAAGAAGCAAAAAAAGGTTGAAAAGAAGACGAAAAAGAGAAAAGGAGAAAAAATAAGAAAATTGCGAGGGAATCACATTTTTCTCGTGTACTGCTTGTCTCTCCGGTGATGGCTTTCCTTTTCATCGTTATGAGCAAAAAATATTGATTGACACGTTTGTTTCTTTGGATAGCTATCATAGATAGCGAAAAAACTCAAAAATTTTGAGAAAAATTTTTTCCCGACGCATTGTTTCTCTTTTCTATCGTGATGAATCTCTTTCCTAACTCATATTCATCAAAGGTATGGATTGAAATATCAGTGTCTTAATAAAGACGAGGCAGCTCCTCTAGAAAGCGGAAAAACACGAAAATTTAGGAAACAAAAATTTTCTTCGGTGCACTGGTTGTCTCTCCCATGTTGGCCTATTTTTTTTACATCATATATGGACGTCCTCTATCAGAAAAAAAATATTCCAGTCGAATACCGGACGGAGACAAATAAAAACCTGGAGCCGAAGACAAATAAAAACCTAAAAATTCATCGAAAAATAGGTGTAGAAGCTTCTTCACGCCTATGGAGTATTTTTTTCCTGAAAGTATGAACGAAAACAAAAATTTTCTTTTTTTATTTGTTCCAATCGGATGCGCCATACAAAAGTTATGAATTTTTGAAAAATTAAAGTTTGGTAGTCATTATCTCAGAAACAAAAAATCATGAGGCAATGAAATTTGGCCGGAATACTTTTTATATATAGTAGTTCGAAATGCGGCAATCAAATCATTTTTTCTAGACAAAAAAAAAATCCGGGGTGGCTGAGTTGACATGAAATGTCCCGTTTGCGTTATTACTTTTTGTCGGATCCTTTATTTCTTCCACAGTGGATGGGAAGAAATGCAGTGAAAACTAATCAAGAGTGGCCCTAGATGGGCTAAACTCATTGACAGTTATTCCTATTTGAATCGAACGATGTGTCAGTAAGCTAGTGTTACTGCTAGTGTTTACGGAGTGAGTCCGAAACACATCTTATTACTAGAAAGGTTCAAACGGAACTCCCAAAAACGGATATTTGTGATGCTTGCCTCAAAAGTGCACTTTTCGAAACGGTTTTGTGGGTGTAAAGCAGTTGCTTTCTGCACGGTGTGCGTAAAGTTCACGAGCGTGCGTAATAGTATATTTCGATACGATTGCGGGAAAGTGTTTTGGGCTCGTGGGAGGTTTATAGCACGAGCCGAAAGCGATTGATATAATCCCACGAGTATAAAAATACTTTTCCCGCGAGTATCGAACCCTATTTTTCATCACAATGTGTGGAAAGTGGGGTTTTGCGCACGCGGAGCGTGCGTAAAATGTCACTTTACACACAGCGTGATGAAAAATGCATTTCGAGTGTGTAAAGCGAAGTTTTACTCGTGCACAAAACAACCACATTCCAAACTCCCACTACCGTTCCGAACAGTGAACTCGGCAGGTACCTCAAAAAATAGGATGTTTTACACGTACGTGTGAAAAAGTGGTACTTTGCGCACTAGTAACACAATATACTATAGTAACTCAATTTTCAGGCGATTTTTTGATGAATATCTCCTAATTGGAGGGAGATAACGAAGTTTTCATCATAACATTTTTTGTAGATATTGTTTTACTCTAGAAAAAAAGGTTTTACGAAAAATTCGATATCTCGTTTCAATTCCAAGATATTGCAAAAAACTGACTTCCAAGAAAATTTTTTTTTCTTTTCCCCCTGCTACAACCCTAAGTTTTTTACAGCACCAAAAGAGGGTTTCTATTTCGAATCGAAAATTTCCGGATTTTTACGATGAGGAGAAAAATTGAATAAAACGTAGGGATCACGATGAAATGGACGTTTTAAAGTTTCTTTTCGTGATTTTCACGATAAACTTGATCATGACATAAAAAACAAAAAAATTTGACAACTTTTTTTTCCAAAGATTGAGCAAATTTCTCAGCAAATCTACACTTCTGAATTTTTTTTTGTGGCGGTTAGGTGCGGGTGGAAAGTACAGAGTCATGGTTGAAATAAAGAAAGGCGTTTACATTTACCACGTAAGATGTGTTTACAATCGAGACTCAAATCGGATAGTAATTAATGACATTCATCCTATGTGATATTTGTTGGAGCGCAATTCTCATTTTTTTTGTCTTATGTTCTAGCTATTGAGTACCGCTCAGGAAGATCAGAAGACGCATTTCAGGAGTTGAATCGTAAATCAACTGCGTTGAAGCGAATATTGAGCAGAATCCCAGATGAAATAACAGATCGTAAAACATTTTTAGAAACTATCAAGTGAGTAGACCGAGAAATTCATTCATCCATAAAAATGAATATTGTTAACGGGGTTTTAATTATTCCAGGGAGATCGCAAGTGCTATTAAGAAACTACTAGACGCTGTGAACGAGGTGACTGCATTTATACCAGGGATAGCAGGGAAACAGGCGCTGGATCAAAGAAAAAGGGAATTTGTCAAATACAGCAAACGGTTCAGTAATACATTGAAGGAGTATTTCAAAGAAGGACAGTAAGTGTCGATGGGTAACACTCACAATACGATTTATTATGTAGCGAAGATCTTTGAAACTAGTGGGTTTAGAGGGAATCCATAAACCTATTTTATTCAAAGATTTTCGCAGAGCAAAACTGCCCGAAAATTTTGAAAACCTAGAGTGAATATTAATTAGTGCCCAAATTTAATCATTTGCAGAGCAAAAGCCGTGTTCATCAGTGCCCTCTTCCTTATTCGACAAACCAACATGATCATGATCACTGTAAAGAACAAATGCGAGTAAAACTTTTTTTTTATTATCAACTGTTCAATAAGTGTTCAAATGAGATAAGTCAATTAAACTTCAGGTTGAAGTTTTGATGAATATTTCTGAATCTGAGTCAGATAGCGAAATTTCTATGAGAATTTTTCCGTGATTCATTCAGAACTATAACAAACGCCCTTACCAAAATTTTATTATTTCGTTAATTCTAGAGTATTCTGCAAAAGCTAGTTTGAGAAATTAGCTTATATTGTATCATTATACTGCTGAATCAACAAACTTCCTGTCCTCAGGAATGATAAACCTTCGACGATTTTCCCATGAAATTCATCGCTCATTCTGACTCTTTATAGTCGAAGTCTTGTGGAGAATTTTTTCATCTTTTATTAATATTAACTGTTCAGGGTATCTAGAAAGAATTATTGATTTGTACTTTCCCTTATTACGTCGTCATGTTATCATTTATTGTATTCTTTGTTTAAAAAATTATATATATTATACCTATATGATAATAAAAGAAAAAAGTAACGTTGACTAAAATTGTAAGAAACTCAATTGTTCCTCCATTACGATGAGAAACGTTTTCATTGTAAATTTCAAGATTTTTTATTATGACAGCCATTAAGACGATCCTATCCACTGCGTTATGCGCGTTTACTATCAGTTAACACTCTTACAATACTACCAATTCCATTGATATTATATACTTTTTCGTGCCAGGTGAGTAGGTGGGAACTGCTGTCCTTCGAGGGTATTTCAAAACCACGATAAATGTATTTCATCAACACATCCATTAGATCTCTGTCTAGTTGTGTTAGGATTTCGTCCATTTGGTGGGATTTTATACTGAGCAGAACCTTTTGTGTCACATTCCTTGCCTGATCCTAATCATTAACAATAAACAAATGAAAAAAATGTATTAATACACAGTCAGAGAAATTATTTGGAATTCTAGAAATCTGGGCGGGGGGGGGGGGAATTATGATGATTCTTTCGATAGAACTCAATTGGGAAATGTTATACCTCCTTGGGATTTTGTGAGTTTGATGAGAAGAAAATCAAATGTCTATCAGGGGTACTAAGTTCTTTCCGCGTCTGATATTTCAACAGTAACCTGACTGAATACACCAGTTTCATGCAGATTGATTTGGAAAAAACCTCTTAAACTAATAGGTGTAGATAGGTATGCCCGAAGATTTTTCTAGTCATCCACAATATTATCTACAAAATGTGTTTCTTGATATTGAATATGCCTTCTTATTAAGATATTCCAAAAGTTATAGAATTCGTTATGTTAAAGTTGTTAAATTCGCTGTTCCACTTTACTATTAAAATGACCGGCCGAAAATTGAAAATAAAAATCCTACTTGAACTTCAAAATATTTACCTTCACTTGCTGATTTTTACACTCGAGTGGAGCCGATCTGAGAGCATAAATCAGTGCTTCTGAGTGTTTTCCTGTGTACATTGATTAAGGAAATACCTTCGAAAAACTACGCGTTAAACACATCGAGCAACATCATTAAATATTTACGATCTATGGAATTCATAGTTGAAAAAGGATATTGGCTAAGTAGTGAGATGATTTCATTTTCATCGGGGCCGGTTGGTCCAGTTGTTCCCCCATCCGCCTCCTCCTCTTTAAAATTATTCTCGCTAAATTCATCAACGTCAATTTTACGAAACCCTGTGCCCATATCCTTCTTATCGTCAATTCTCGACATTTTAATTATTTACTTTTCTCAATTACAGGTTTCACCACTCCTTTTACTGATTGCTGATTCATCCAAGAACCGAGATGCAGCGCTCACGCCCAGGAAACTCAGCAAAGTGGATAGACTAAATTAGAGGCTCTGGGCAGAGATTATAGGGGAGATTGCCAGCGCCATGAAGAATAGAGACCAGGAGGCCGAACTAGCGTTTTCCGGTCCGAGACCATACTCGGGGTAATGAAGTGTTTTATAGGTGGTGCTTCAATCGCTTTTCTGAATAGCAGTAGTGGGGGAATGCTGCCCAGTTCGGCCTCTCCTGGTCCCTATTCTTCATGGCCAGCGCTTATGGAGAAGCTTCAACCGCAAAATTTCGTAGCGATGGCGCGTGAACTAATTTTGCGGCCGTACCTGTGAGTAATGCAGGGAGCGGCAAGACGCCGAGGACGTACCTGTGAGTAAAACAGGGAGCGTATGAGAGTGTCGATAACGGCGTAGAGTGGGGGAAAGCGCCTATGTGGGGGGAATCGCAGGGCTGGCCAAGTCGTGANTGGTCAACTGTTGGAGAATTAGACAAGTCAATTACTATTATTAATTTATTAAGTATTAATTTTCACGTATTTCCTCATAATTTTGTTATCAATTCATTGTTTTTTCATCAAAAACGAAAAAAACAAAACAGGAAATTATTTTTCATGTATTTTGAACACGCCGTACGCGGAGGGATACACCACCGTCCCACCGCGCATGCGCGCGTCGGTGGTGGGGGAAGTAGGGGTTAGATGGAAAGATCACTCTCATATTGTCGCCAGTATATGCCAACGACGTTGAGGGAAACCTTCCGGTTTTAAACGCCGACTGACCCTGGAATTATGGCCTCAATATGAAAATCAATTTTTCCTTCCCTAATTGAGATGGAGAGATGGAACGAACACCAATCGATTGAGAATTGAATTCTCCATGAATTGACAGCGGATCCATTTCTAGACCTCAATTAGAAGAGGAGAAATACATTTTCGAAGTACGAAGTGACTGCGGCGAAGTTCTTCCCATTAAAAAATCGATTTTTCCCCCCACTAATTGAGAAGGAATGAAACCGTTTCCGATCGATCGAGAATTATATTTTCAATAAATGCCAGCGGTTTCATTCCTTAATCTCAAGTAGGAGCGGAGGAATGAATTTTCAAAACCGCGGAGTAACCCCGAACGGCTCTCCGGAGGGGCCCCGCCGATTGGAAAATTCATTTCTCCCCCCCTAATTGCGATGAAGGAATGAAAGCAATATCTATCGATGGGGAATTATATTCTCAATAAATGACAGCGGTTTCATTCCTTAATCTCAAGTAGGAGCGGAGGAATGAATTTTCAAAACCGCGGAGTAACCCCGAACGGCTCTCCGGAGGGGCCCCGCCGATTGGAAAATTCATTTCTCCCCCCCTAATTGCGATGAAGGAATGAAAGCAATATCTATCGATGGGGAATTATATTCTCAATAAATGACAGCGGTTTCATTCCTTAATCTCAAGTAGGAGCGGAGGAATGAATTTTCAAAAGCGCGGAGTAACCACGAACGGTTCGCCGGTGTCGAGTGAGTCCGGAGGGGCTCCCCCAATTGGAAAATTCATTTCTTCCCCCCTAATTAAGATGAAGGAATGAAACCAATGCCGGTCGATCGAGAATTAAATTCTCAATAAATGACAGCGGTTTCATTCCTTAATTTCAAGTAGGAGCGGAGGAATGAATTTTCAAAAGCGCGGAGTAACCACGAACGGTTCGCCGGTGTCGAGTGAGTCCGGAGGGGCTCCCCCAATTGGAAAATTCATTTCTTCCCCCCTAATTAAGATGAAGGAATGAAACCAATGCCGGTCGATCGAGAATTAAATTCTCAATAAATGACAGCGGTTTCATTCCTTAATTTCAAGTAGGAGCGGAGGAATGAATTTTCAAAAGCGCGGAGAAAGAAATGAAATTAACATCTATCGATCGAGAATTATATTCTCAATAAATGATAGCGGTTTCATTCCTTAATCTCTATTAGGAGCGGAGGAATGAATTTTCAAAAGCGCGGAGAAAGAAATGAAATTAACATCTATCGATCGAGAATTATATTCTCAATAAATGATAGCGGTTTCATTCCTTAATCTCTATTAGGAGCGGAGGAATGAATTTTCAAAAGCGCGGAGAAAGAAATGAAATTAACATCTATCGATCGAGAATTATATTCTCAATAAATGATAGCGGTTTCATTCCTTAATCTCTATTAGGAGCGGAGGAATGAATTTTCAAAAGCGCGGAGAAAGAAATGAAATTAACATCTATCGATCGAGAATTATATTCTCAATAAATGATAGCGGTTTCATTCCTTAATCTCTATTAGGAGAGGAGGAATGAATTTTCAAAGCGCGCAGTAACTCGGGACAAGTTCTTCTCATTCAAAAATTAATTTCTCCCCTCCCTAATTGAGATGAAGTAATGAAACCAAAGCTTACCGATTAAGAATTATATTTTTAATAAATGACATCGGTGTCATTTCTTAATCTCAGTTAGGAACGGAGGAATGAATGTTCAAAAGCGCGGAGAAACCCCGAACGGCTTTCCGACGTCGAGTGAGCCCGGAGGGGCTTTCCCGATTAGAAAATTCATTTCTCCCCCCCTAATGAAGATGAAGGAATGAAACCGATGCCGATCGATAGAGAATTAAATTCTCAATAAATGACAGCGGTTTCATTCCTTAATTTCAAGTAGGAGCGGAGGAATGAATTTTCAAAAGCGCGGAGAAAGAAATGAAATTAACATCTATCGATCGAGAATTATATTCTCAATAAATGATAGCGGTTTCATTCCTTAATCTCTATTAGGAGAGGAGGAATGAATTTTCAAAGCGTGCAGTAACTCCGGACAAGTTCTTCTCATTCAAAAATTAATTTCTCCCCTCCCTAATTAAGATGAAGGAATGAAACCAAAGCCTACCGATCGAGAATTTTATTTTTAATAAATGACATCGGTTTCATTTCTTAATCTCAGTTAGGAGCGGAGGAATGAATTTTCAAAAGCGCGGAGTAACCACGAACGGTTCGCCGGTGTCGAGTGAGTCCGGAGGGGCTCCCCCAATTGGAAAATTCATTTCTTCCCCCCTAATTAAGATGAAGGAATGAAACCAATGCCGGTCGATCGAGAATTAAATTCTCAATAAATGACAGCGGTTTCATTCCTTAATTTCAAGTAGGAGCGGAGGAATGAATTTTCAAAAGCGCGGAGAAAGAAATGAAATTAACATCTATCGATCGAGAATTATATTCTCAATAAATGATAGCGGTTTCATTCCTTAATCTCTATTAGGAGAGGAGGAATGAATTTTCAAAGCGCGCAGTAACTCGGGACAAGTTCTTCTCATTCAAAAATTAATTTCTCCTGTGACGTGAGAGGTTTTCTACCTCCCTTAATTGAGTCACCAGTCGACTCAAAAACTTTTGCTCAACTAGCTACGGTCAGAGCTCACGCGGATTTCTCTCAAGATCTAACGTGACACGACTAGGATAGGATTTGATTAGGTATTCTTCGTATAAAACAATCGAGCACCACTGTTACATTAATAATTGACAGTATATTGAATAGATAGGTAAAGTATAAAATCAACTGTTAAATGGGTTCGGTTTCGACGCGGATCTACTATAGATTTTTGGCTAGGAGAGGACGTCCGTCCATCTTCAACTCCTGCCGTACTCTGCCCTATTCCAGAGCTTCAAAGTCGTTGCTGGCCGAAAATGCTAAATAAGTGTTCTCACGGTTTTTCTAACTAACACGGCCATATGTCCATCACTGACAATGGCTAAGACAATCAAACAGCTCCATTCTGAGAAGCTGAACTCAGGTGTCACCGCGAGACTGCTTATTGAGCATTTGGGACTTTTTCTATCTAGAAAATATTAATTGAATAAAATCGACGTGTGAATATCTCCACACGTCACACTCCCCTCCCTAATTGAGATGAAGGAATGGAACCGAAGCCTACCGATCGAGAATTGTATCTTTAATAAATGACACTGGTTTCATTTCTTAATCTCAGTTAGGAGCGGAGGAATGAATTTTCAAAAGCGCGGAGTAACCACGAACGGTTCTCCGGTGTCGAGTGCGCCCTAAGGGGCTCCCCCGATTGGAAAATTCATTTCTCCCCCCCTATTTGAGATGAAGGAATGCAGCCGATGCCGACCGATCGAGAATTAAATTCTGAATAAATGACAGCGGTTTCATTCTTCAATCTCAAGTAGGAGCGGAGGAATGAATTTTCAAAAGCGCGGAGAAACCCCGCCCCTGCCCCTAATTGCGAAAAAGGAATTAAATCAACATCTATCGATCGAGAATCATATTCTCAATAAATGACAGTGGCTTCATTCCTTAATCTCTATTAGGGGGGGGGGGAGAAATGAATTTTCCAATCGGAGGAGCCCCTCCGGGCTCACTCGACGCCGGAGAACCGTTCGGGGTTACTCCGCGCTTTTGAAAATTCATTCCTCCTCTTCTAACTGAGATTAAGAAATGAAACCGCTGGCATTTATTAAAAATACAATTCTCGAGCGGCAGGCTTTGGTTTCATTCCTTTATCTCAATTAGGGTGAGGAGAAATTGATTTTTGGGTGAGAAGAACTTGTCTGGAGTTACTGCGCGCTTTGAACAATCATTCCTCCTCTCCTAATAGAGATTAGGGAATGAAACCGCTGTCATTGATTGAGAATATAATTTTCGTGAGAAGACCCGGTAAACCGCGATTCTAACCTCGCTTCGCTCGGTTTGATCGCAGTTTAGGGGCCTTCTGACGAAAAATTGCATTCATCACACGGTCCAAAAGTATTTTCTGACGAATATGATTATAGAAAAGCCACATTACAAAGCCACATTCGTCAGAAAATACTTTGTGGACCTTGTGATGAAAATAACTATCTCGATCGATAGAAGTTGCTTTCATTCCTTCTTCACAATTGGGGGGGGGGGGGGAGAAATGAATCTTCCAATCAGGGGAGCCCCTCCGGACTCACTCGACGTCGGAGAGCCGTTCGTTGTTACTTCGCGGTTTTGAAAATTCATTCCTCCGCTCCTAACTGAGATTAAGAGATGAAACCGATGTGATTTATTAAAAATACAATTGTCGATTGGTAGGCTTTGGTTTGATTCCTTCATCTCAATTAGGGAGGGGAGAAATTAATTTTTGAATGAGAAGAACTTGTCCGGAGTTACTGCGCGCTTTGAAAATTCATTCCTCCTCTCTTAATAGAGATTAAGGAATGAAACCGCTGTCATTCATTGAGAATATAATTCTTGATCGATAGATGTTAATTTCATTTCTTCTTCGCAAATAGGGGGGGGGGGAGAAATGAATCTTCCAATCAGGGGAGTCCCTCCGGGCTCACTCGACGTGGGAGAGCTTTTCGGGGTTTCCCCGCGCTTTTGAAAATTCATTCCTCCGCTCCTACTTGAGATTAAGGAATGAAACCGCTGTCATTCATTGAGAATATAATTCTTGATCGATAGATGTTAATTTCATTTCTTCTTCGCAAATAGGGGGGGGGGGAGAAATGAATCTTCCAATCAGGGGAGTCCCTCCGGGCTCACTCGACGTGGGAGAGCTTTTCGGGGTTTCCCCGCGCTTTTGAAAATTCATTCCTCCGCTCCTACTTGAGATTAAGGAATGAAACCGCTGTCATTCATTGAGAATATAATTCTTGATCGATAGATGTTAATTTCATTTCTTCTTCGCAAATAGGGGGGGGGGGAGAAATGAATCTTCCAATCAGGGGAGTCCCTCCGGGCTCACTCGACGTGGGAGAGCTTTTCGGGGTTTCCCCGCGCTTTTGAAAATTCATTCCTCCGCTCCTACTTGAGATTAAGGAATGAATCCGCTGTCATTTATTGAGAATTTAATTCTCAATCGATCGGCATCGGTTTCATTCCTTCATCTTAATTAGGGGGGGAGAAATGAATCTTCCAATCAGGGGAGTCCCTCCGGGCTCACTCGACGTGGGAGAGCTTTTCGGGGTTTCCCCGCGCTTTTGAAAATTCATTCCTCCGCTCCTACTTGAGATTAAGGAATGAATCCGCTGTCATTTATTGAGAATTTAATTCTCAATCGATCGGCATCGGTTTCATTCCTTCATCTTAATTAGGGGGGGAGAAATGAATCTTCCAATCAGGGGAGTCCCTCCGGGCTCACTCGACGTGGGAGAGCTTTTCGGGGTTTCCCCGCGCTTTTGAAAATTCATTCCTCCGCTCCTACTTGAGATTAAGGAATGAATCCGCTGTCATTTATTGAGAATTTAATTCTCAATCGATCGGCATCGGTTTCATTCCTTCATCTTAATTAGGGGGGGAGAAATGAATTTTCCAATCGGGGGAGCCCCTCCGAGCTCACTCGACGTCGGAGAGCCGTTCGGGGTTTCTCTGCACTTTTGAAAATTCATTCTTTCGCTCCTACTTGAGATTAAGGAATGAAACCGCTGTCATTCATTGAGAATTTAAATCTCGATCGATCGGCATCAGTTTCATTCTTTCATCTTAATTAGGGGAGGAGAAATGAATTTTCTAATCGGGGGAGCCCCGCCGGGCTCGCTCGACGCCGGAGAACCGTTCGTGGTTACTCCGCGCTTTTGAAAATTCATTCCTCCGCTCCTAACTGAGATGAAGAAATGAAACCGCTGGCATTTATTGAAAATATAATTGTCGATTGATCGGCATCGGTTTCATTCTTTCTTCTCAATTAGTGGGGGGAGAAATTGATTTTTTAATGGGAAGACCTTGGCCGCAGTCACTCCGTGCTTCGAAAATGTATTTCTCCTCTCCTAATTGAGGTTTAGAAATGGATCCGCTGTCAATTCATGGAGAATTCAATTGTCAATCGATTGGCGTTCGTTCCATCTCTCCATCTCAATTAGGGGAGGAAAAATTGATTTTCATATTGTGGGCATAATTCCAGGGTCAGTCGGCGTTTAAAACCGGAAGATTTCCCTCAACGTCGTTGGGATACTCATCACGACTTGGCCAGCCCTGCTATTCTCCCGACATAGGCGCTTTCCCCCACTCTACGCCGTTATCGACACTCTCATACACTCCCTGTTTTACTCACAGGTACGTCCTCGGCGTCTTGCCGCTCCCTGCCTTACTCACAGGTACGGCCGCAAAATTGGTTCACACGCCACCGCTACGAAATTTTGCGGTTGAGGCTTCTCCATAAGCGCTGGCAATCTCCCCTATAATTTCTGCCCTGAGCAGAAAACTTACAATCATCGCTGGGCTGAGTCGGTAAGAGTCCCCGGCACGTATCTGGGAGACCCGGATTCGATCCCCGGCTGGGTGAAGCGGAAATTTTTTCTCTAAATTCTAATTCTGGTTAGGCGGTGTTTGAGGTGAATTTAAGAGTGAATTTCTGTGGTTCCCGGTAACTTAGTCGGTAAGAATGCCCGGCGCATATCTGGGAGACCCCGGTTCGATTCCCGGCTGGGTGAAGCGGAAATTTTTTCTCTAAATTCTAATTCTGGTTAGGCGGTGTTTGAGGTGAATTTAAGAGTGAATTTCTGTGGTTCCCGGTAACTTAGTCGGTAAGAATGCCCGGCGCATATCTGGGAGACCCCGGTTCGATTCCCGGCTGGGTGAAGCGGAAATTTTTTCTCTCTAAATTCTCAATCTCTTAGAATTTTTTTTTTTTAATCAGCGCTGGCAATCTCCCCTATAATTTCTGCCCTGAGCAGAGATTATAGGGGAGATTGCCAGCGTTTATGTGGAAACTTTTCAACCGCAAAATTTCGCAGCATTGGCGCGTGAACTAATCCAGAGTACGTACCTGTAAGTAAGGCAGGGAGCGTACAAGCAGAGAATATAGGGGCCGGAAAAATTTGTGCAAACTCTGTTTGTATCCGGCATAGCGCTGGTATTGGCGATGCCAAAAGTGATTCCAGCGCTATACCCAGAAAAACGTACTGATTCGGAACTACTCTAAGGCGAAATAGCCAACGTTACGTTCTATTTTGTGACCAACTTCACATCAAAACAAAGTGAACTTCATTTTTCTCATAAAAATGACTACAAATGTTTATAAAAAAATGATCGAAGAGTCTGCTGTGTGCCAAACTGTAAAATTAAAGATAAATCAAATTTGAGCTTTCACAATTTCCCTACCTGTCATCAATGTATTAAAAAAAAAAATCTGGGAGTTTGGATCATTCTCTTTTCTACCTTCTCCACCTTCATGCAATAAAATTCCTCCAAATTCACTACCTGATTCTGGGGTAAATCAGCATTTGATTTCAAGTTGCTCCATTGCTGTTTCAAGTCTGTACAGCTCAACATCTCCAATCTATCAACTCGAACCCTAGATAAATCCAATATTTAAAATGCAGATTGCGTCTACTCGAATATGAGTGACGATTAGTAAATGTATTGGACTAGATAAAACGATCAAAAACAAAAAAAAACTACTTTCCCCACCGATAAATATATAGAAGTGTCGAAAAATGTGTTTACATTTTTCACCCCAGCCAGCTAGACAAGTACATTTGCTAATTATTTTCCTCTTATTTTCCTCAAACAGAATTTTTATAGTTATTTCGTGGTAATTATTCCAATGTGACGATTGACGACAAGCTGATACAATTTCTACGTAATTATGTTTATAACTTGTGACACCCCAGATGAGAATGTGTTCAGCTAATAATACCTCCTCTCCTGCTTGAATTGGTCTCCTAGTATCTTCTTGTAAGTCTCGAATATCACAAAATGTCAAATTGAACTTTGGATTGATATTCATATTTACTAAAGTCCAATAATGATAGGGTAATGGGAGGCAAAGATCTTAATTTCGTATAACCATACATTCCGGCGCCCAACCACCTGGTAGGCTCCGCCATAGGCTAGTTATAGAAACCCTCAGTAGAGGGCGAAAAATCACTTTTGGCATCGCCAATACTTTAGTCTATCCTCTTTGCTGCTATGAGTCTAGGTTTAATACGTCTATGATTATAGACGATCGACCGTGGCGCCATCCCTCCCATGGGGTGATACAAATTCTGGCTTGGGGTCACCTGAAGCCCTAGAACTGAGCCTCTACTGTAGGACTGGCGAGATTGTTCTGGGATGAGGGGTGGGAGAATGGGAGTTCAATGCATAACCTACAATTCCCAGTGAAACTCTTTAGCCAGTTTTACTTATAATACTTCAGTCGATCCTGTTTGCTCATATTGCCCTATATAGATTGTTGGAGAAGTTTTACAAAGTTAATGAATAAAACAAACTGGTATTATAAAACTGGTATTTTGAGTTTTATACTATTGTTAATGTGTTAGTTTCGCATGTAGAAAAAATTATCTCAACAATGAGTGAGAAAATTGATTCTAGGGGCAACACTTATGTTATCGTAAGTCAAAAAAATTCAATTATTTTGCGTTTTTCTCCTTGAATTCTTTAATCTCTATTTAATATTACAAAGTATTTGATAATATATTGACTTTGTGGCGAGTAATTTCTAAGAAATTTTTCAAATATCCAAGAATTCTTCCCGTGGAATGTCTTACAACTGCACTTAAAGTAGTATAAACATTACTCAAATTTTGAAGATTAAAATTTCAAATAAATCCTAAACCGAAGTTAATATAATTAGAAACATTCTGGTCCAGTTTGCGCTCAACTGGCAGTTTAGTGTAATTGATAATAATTAATTAAAAGTGTCAAAATAACAGATTCTTATGAGATAATGACCTTTTCCAGGTTAGGGGGAAGTTAAAGGCAGTGTCTATTCACACGGTCCACGGTAAATTTTACCGCGGATATAGGGTATATTTTACCGTGGATATACGGTAATTTCTACCGTGGATATAAGGTAAGCAGTGGGGTACGTTAGGCCCATTTTTTTACCGTGGATAAAAGGTAATTCTTACCGTGGATATAAAGTAATTCTTTTTTACCGTGCATATAAGGTGAGTGAATGGCGTGCAGTGTTTCCGCTCTTTCATTTGAGCCCAAAAAAACATTCATATCTTGTCTGACATCTCTGCTATATGTCTGCTAGATGTCAGACAAGATATGAATGTTTTTTTGGGCTCAAATGAAAGAACGGCTCGAAAAATGGTGTGCTGGTGCCTCTAAAGATGGTTTTGAACCAGGGGAGACTCCTAGACCCCACTGGACAATGTTGTCACAATTGCGCTTTGCAATTGAAAACAGACATCATCTTTAGATACATTTGTCATCTTTAAAACCATCTTCCACGGTAAAAAGTGGAAACACTGCACGCCATTCACTCACCTTATATGCACGGTAAAAAAAAATTACTTTATATCTACGGTGAAAATCGTCCCTATATCCACGGTACAAATTACCGTATATCCACGGTAAAATATACCTTATATCCACGGTGAAATTTACCGTGGACCGTGTGAATAGACACTGTCTTTAAATAAACTCGAATTAGGCTTTTTTCGTCTACATTTCGTATCTAATAATTGCTTATCCATCCTAGAGTGAAGATGATTGGCCATACGAAGAAGAAATGCTCCGCAATCCCTACTCCATGAAGCACTGGCAGCGCTATATTGATCACCTGAAGAACACGAAGTCTCCAAATCTCAACGTCGTCTTCCGCCGAGCACTGGAGAAACTTCCAGGCAGTTACAAACTCTGGTATAACTATCTCTGTAATCGTCGCACTCAATTAAAAACGAAATGCATCGACGATAAGATGTACGAAGACGTCAACAATGACTACGAAAGGGCCCTCGTGTTTATGCACAAGATGCCCAGAATTTGGATAGAATACTGTGGTCTCGTGACAGAGCAATGCTATATTACAAGAACTCGTCAAGTATTCGATCGAGCCCTCCGAGCCCTCCCCATCACCCAACACCACAGGATTTGGCCGTTATATCTAGAGTTCGTCAGCAAACACGATATCGCTGAAACAGCAGTCCGGGTTTTTAGGAGATACTTGAAATTAGCCCCTGAAGACACCGAGGATTACATCGAGTATTTAGTCACGATCGGACGACTCGATGAAGCTGCAGTAAAGCTCGCTTACATCGTGAATCAAGATGACTTCGTCTCGAAACATGGGAAGTCGAATCATCAATTATGGAATGAACTTTGCAACCTCATCTCCAAGAACCCAACGAAGATAAAAAGCTTAAATGTCGACGCAATCATTAGAGGAGGACTCAGAAGATATACCGATCAATTAGGACCCCTTTGGAATGCCTTGGCAGACTACTATGTACGTTCTGGTCTATTCGAACGAGCACGTGACATTTATGAAGAAGCAATCCAAACAGTAACTACCGTCAGAGATTTTACTCAGGTGTTCGATGCTTATGCACAGTTTGAAGAGCTTAGCCTCAGTAAACGAATGGAAGAGGCTGCGAACAATCCAAATCCTACCCCAGAAGACGATATTGATCTTGAATTGAGATTAGCCAGGTTCGAACACTTAATGGATAGGAGATTATTGCTTCTGAATTCTGTTATGCTTCGACAAAACCCTCACAATGTTCAGGAGTGGCACAAACGTGTCAGATTATACGAGAATCAGCCCCATGAGATAATCAGCACGTACATGGAGGCAGTGCAGACAGTTCAGCCTCAACTAGCTGTTGGAAAACTTCATACCCTCTGGGTGTCATTTGCGAAATTCTACGAAGCTAATAATCAATTGGATGATGCCAGAGCTATCTTCGAAGAGGCGACTCGGGTTCCCTACACAAAAGTCGATGATTTAGCTTCTGTTTGGTGTGCCTGGGCAGAGATGGAGATCGATCATGGAAATTTCAATGGTGCATTGAAACTCATGCATCGAGCAACAGCAATGCCTTCTCGAAGAGTGGCTTATCATGACGAATCTGAGGCAGTCCAGATGAGACTTTATAAATCTCTGAAGGTCTGGTGTCTCTACGCAGATTTGGAAGAATGTTATGGAACTTTCAGAACCTGCAAAGCTGTTTACGATAAGATCATTGACTTGAAAATTGCCACTCCACACATTATTATGAGCTATGGGTTGTTCTTAGAGGAGAAGAATTACTTCGAAGAAGCATTTAGAGCGTATGAGAAGGGAATCGCTTTGTTCAAATGGCCGAATGTTTATGATATTTGGAAGAGATATCTTGAGAAGTTCCTGCAGAGATACGGGGGTGAGAAGTTGGAGAGAACGAGGGACTTGTTTGAACAATGCTTGGAGCATTGCCCCCCAAAATATGCAAAGACATTTTATCAACTTTATGCTAAATTCGAAGAAGAACATGGATTGAAGAGTCGAGTTATGTCGGTTTATGAGCGGGCCACAGAGAAAGTTCCTAATGAGGAGAAATTCGTCATGTTTAATATATACATTGAAAAGGCTGCGGATATCTATGGAATTCCCAAAACACGTCAGATCTATGAGAAAGCTATTGATGTCCTGAATGAGGAAAACACTAGGGAGATGTCTCTGCGATTCGCTGACATGGAAACAAAGCTCGGAGAGGTGGATCGTGCGAGGGCGATTTATAGCCACTGCAGTCAAATTTGTGATCCGCGAGTAACTTCCAATTTTTGGCAGGTGTGGAAGGACTTCGAGGTTAGACATGGTAATGAAGACACGATGAGGGAGATGTTGAGGATAAAACGTAGTGTACAAGCTATGTATAATACGCAGATTAATATGATGTCCGCTCAGATGTTGAATACAGCAACGTCGGTTCAAAGTCATGAGATCCCGGATGCCATGAAGTTGTTGGATAGCAAAGTTGCTGCAACGGGGCAGACTGGGGCTATGCTACCTAAGGACACAATTTCATTTGTCCGTGGAGTAACGGAAGGAGGCAACAAAACGAGTCAAGTTACTAATCCAGATGAGATTGATATTGATATAGATGAGGATGATGGAGATAGTGAAGATGAGGCACAGGTTGAGGAGGAGGTTCCAGTCGAGAAACAGCTTATTCCTTCGCAAGTATTTGGAAGCTTGAAAATGAATGTGGATGGCAATGATGATTAATTAATTATTTCGAAAGGAATATGATTATCGAAGAAATTATGGAAGATTACGGGATGTTCATCGACACTTTTTTGCGCAATTGTAATTTCAATCTCGATTAGATACAGATATCCATGAAAAACTTACCTTACAATGTATTTGTAGAGTGGTAAAACCGGATAAGTAAATTTCACACCATTGCTTTTTGGAAGATATGTCAACATTTTAGAGGGAGGGGATAAACTTTCACATTGAAGTGTAAAAATTTCAACTTCATATGAAATAATACCTGATAATAACAAATTCTCTATTCAAGTAAACGAATGTATATATCTCGAATTTATTCATCCTTCACTGATAAATCCTTGATATCCAATGTACATGATTTTTTTGTAAATATTGTGGTACCTAGAGAACATACCGCGGTGGTCTTATGAAATGAATATCGTTATAAACCTCTGAAACATCCTCATCAGTCTCTCCCTGTATCGTAGTAACAACCTTCCGAATTCCTCCAAAGACAATTAACTCGCTCTGCCCCAGGACCAACGAGTATAGGATTCGTCCCTCAGGACCATTATACTCATTCTGACTATGATAAATCCATGTTGCCGCGCATTCTTCCAAAATTTGTGCAATGTCAAGCACAAAAATTCCCAATCTATCAGGTTTCCTCCTCACAAGTCTCTGCTGAATTCTCTGATTCTGAATTCTCTCCTGCATTCGTCTCAGTGACTCTAACTGCCTCACACGATTTGCCTGACGACGTCTCTCCTCAACATCAGGCACTCCCACTGGTGCGAAAGACTTCAATTCAAGAGGTTGAGCGCCAGGATAGATTGAACTATTCGGTGAAGAACTTCTCACATGCATTTTTCGACCCATCAGTTTGCCATGTCTCTCATTGATATGTTCATCTATGTGCTCTTTCTGTTCAACAGTCTGACGTCTCCTGGGAGGTTGTAACAATTGTGATTTATTTACTTCCTTAGATACTACAACACCTTGCTTGGTCGATTGTTTATTACCATTCAAAACAACCACATGATTTCCAACTTTACAAGCTTGATGACACCAAATTTTTGCAGGTGCCCAGTTGGAGCCTTGCATGTTGACCTGCCTCCATGTCCACGTAGGTTCCTCCATTGTCAACAACCAGACGTCATTCATGGCTGCACTGGGACCTGTGCAGCCTCCGAAGATCACAATATGCTTATCCCCTAAATGGATTTGGGAATGTCCATACCTGGGAGGGGGTTTCAAATCAGATATAACTGGTTTGTACCAGTAGTAATGATCCAGATTAAGACACCAAATATCGTTCGAGCTATTGTAGTCGTTGCTGATGCCTCCAATTACGACCATTATGTTTCCATGGATAGATGCAGAGTGAGCGGAGGTTGGAGGAGGTCCGTCTAATGTATCAATTACAGACCATCTGTTTGTTTTCAAGCAATAAACATGGAGTTCGTCGAATAATCTCCGTCTTTGATAAGGTGGATAGGCTGAGGGATGAGACCAGCCACCAAAGAGGATGAAACTGTGATTATAGTACACCATTGAGGCACAGGCTTTTGGGGAGGGGTAGTTACCCCTTGCGAGGGGTCGATCCCATTTTCTGGTGTCTAAATCCAGCTTCCAAAGATCATTGAAGGTTGTGCTTGTTTTCGTGCATCCACCAAACACATACATCGAATTTTGATAAGTGCAGGCTGAATGGGAGAAACGTTCACTGATTATCGCTGGGGGTTCTGAATCTGAGAAGTTGGTATTCCATTCTAAGGAGCCGAAGGCCACTGACCTGTGAAAGTACGACTCTTTATGCTCCATCACCCCTGTAAAACGAGAGGACGCTTACGAAAATTTTATCATCTTCTTTTGATTTCAAAGTATTCGCAAAAAACTGCTACCCAAGTGAAAATGACTTATTTTATTGCAATACTTGACGACATAACAGCATTGAATTTGCAATTAAAAAGAACAATGTGCCGCCTATATAATCTCATGGGGCTGTGTAGATTTAATGGATTCATCAGGACACAAATAAAATTGAAAATATTGTTGTAAATAGTCAATGAGATATCCATAACAGCCGCCAGAAAATAAAGTATAACGAAAATAAAAGTAAAACTGAACTGATCAGATAATTACGTTTCACCGCCAATGACCATCGTTTAGAGACAACCATACATTCCTTCAAACTTCTGTATGGTGGAATGAGATTGAGAATATATTCTAAAATTTCGTCGGGCAAATCATCTATGTGGTACTCCATTATTTGTTGAATTAATTGTCACTTCAAAATTGGCACATTTTTTACGGCATAGTATACTTTGTCATTTAATGTCAACGCAGTAGTTCCTTATAATAACATGATACGATTCTATCGTGAATTTAATAGTTTTTCACTAATGTTTTGGTTCGATAATTGTTTATCATACAAGACGTTTCAGAAAACTCCAAAGTTATGATGCGTCATAGACATATGATACCTAGACAGCGCATGTGGTGGGGGAAGCTGTACAGGTTTAGGCAGAGAGAGATACCCTCGGTCCCTACCAAAGAGGATTGACTAAAGTAGAGGCTCAGTTCTCCAGGGGCAGGTGACCCCAAGCTGAAATAGTAAGTGCCTCATAGGAGGGATGGCGCCACAGTTGATGTAGGCCTCTAAGGTATGATACAAGCAGGTATTGGAAACGCTAAATATCAAAACGCCACCTATGAATGGCGGATATTGGGCTGCACACAGACAGATTACAACCCAATTTGGACTTGTGTTAGCGTGTATATGGGAAGCCTAAAATCGTCCATATTGGTGAAAACGAGCGCCGCCATCGGTAATTAGCGGTCCCACTGATGAAGCCAGAAAACAGGAGACAAGTTCGCCGGAGCGCCAGAAGCGGCGTTCCGGTCGACTTACGCTTCCCCTCAACTCCTTTAGTCTCCCACCACTGGGACTTATTTTGCTGGAGGGAACGTTATGAAATTTATATTTTAAGTCAAAATAATTAGCCCCGTATGAAATTACATGTACAATGTGAAAAAAAGTAAAAAAATGCAAATATATTCATGGTTTTTCATGTACTATTTCTTTAATAGTCAATGGCCCGCTCACTCTTTCATTAATGGGGTGATTTTTATCTTATAATAGGTGAATTCTTTCTTTTTTTACTGAAAATAATTACCAAGATTGAGAGTGAAATCACTGCTCAATGTAATAGCATTAAAAATAAAATGAAAATGCATTTTTGTCCAATGTTGAACAATATTTATTTTTCGCGCGAAAATATCTCGCGAATGTTGTTTGTTTATGGCTGCTCCAAAACGTATTCCAATAGATCTGAACAGTCTGTGCGAGTTGATTCATGCAAAATGGTTAAATCGTGTGCAATTATAAATTGCAAAGCATCTTCTAGGGATAATTATCGTTTTTTCTCCCTTCCCAGTGTGAAGAAAATTGAGAAGCGACGACAATGGCTGGAAAAAAGCGGTAATTTGCTACCGAGTGATCAAGTGTCAAAGAACGATTGTTGTTTGTGTGAGGTGCGTAAGTGAATAGTTGGGACTTTTTTTTTCTTTTGTGGCTCTTGAAACCCCTTGTACCTCATTTATTCCACCCCTCGTGACCATTGTGACCCTCGTATCTTTTTCAAAACTTGTTCATAGAAGAAAACAATAAAAAACAGTTCAAACTGGGATCCTCGTGATCGTAATCCCATCCCTCCCAATTCTTCCCTTCTGATGTTAATTATCCTTTCTTCTAATTAGTATTTCAATCATCTAGTCGACATGACTCTCAGTCAATCTTTATCGCTCGACCCATGAAACTATTTGCTGATAATCATATAGTTTTCATCTCAACATTTTTTACTCCTGTTCCTCTCGATTGAACACAAAATTTTATTTTCATCACGCTGTATCGGAGAAGTAACTTTCCTACACATTGTGATGAAAAATTTTGTCTANAATCATCTAGTCGACATGACTCTCAGTCAATCTTTATCGCTCGACCCATGAAACTATTTGCTGATNGGAAGTCAATGTGTTTTTATTTCATCTGGTAGTTGCATGCCATCGTTATTATTATTCCCTACAGAAATGTTTAAGCGAGCATCAAAAATGGAATTGAAATCCTTGTCTGCAGAAAAGGATGAAGAATACGGAGGTAACAACAGAGAAACATACTTTATAAAAATCACGTATTTAAATGAAATGGTCATGTTCAACAATGATTCTCCTTTTTCAGTTAAGCGAAAATGTCAACGTAGAAGGAGGAGGACAACGACGTGAAACAAGTTTGTTTGGCGACAGCATTTGCGTGTAGATGTGTTCCTGAGAGATGTGTCAACGCCCCTTTTCCGATATTTATTTATTTAAGCTATATTTATTTATATTAAACTCTCAAAAATAAGGGAATGAAGTCTCATCGATTTTTGGCAGTAATTTGTTGAATAAATTAACCATAAAAATAATTGGCGTGATATCTGTCACTATCCAACGCACGCCATGTTTGATGTTTCGTCTCTCTCGAAAATAACCTCACTTAACCATTTTACGCTCCACTCACCCGCGCGCCTATCCCCGTTTTGCCCTACTGAGGAGACCCCTTAATTCATACATCATTAATTCGGTTCCATTGTTAATTACAAAAAACAGAACAGTTTTTTTCAATCATTGAAGTGATGATTAAATATAAATTTATATCGATCACAAAAGTGATCAATTCGTGATCGATTCGTGAAACCTCGTTTTACGCACATGCCGCGCGTGCTAAAAAGCCGCTCACGAACATCGGGACAACAAAAATATCCTTCATCACTTAATCGAAACTAATTTTCCCGGCGAAAAATACTCCTTTCAGGGAAAATATATTACGAAAAATATTATTTTGACACTGTTGCTACATTCACCTCGTGCCGTAATGTGCCTTTTCGTTTGCTCCTAAACAGAAAATGTTAATTTTTATTTGGTTTTACTAATCGACAATTATTTTACTAATCGGCAATTGGTATCAATGCTGACCCCTTTTTTTTTGATAAATAAATAATCACCCATCAACGACTATCAATGAATTAGTAAATTATTAATCAGAATGAAAAATTAACCGATTAATGTATCAACTGTTAATCCTGTTTGATTTTTTTATCAATTATTTAAAGAGGAATTAATTGGATCTGGGAATTTCTGATTAACCCTGATGATGATGAATTTCGGATTAGAAAAAAATCAATTATTTAGTCAATGAATCATTTCTATGGAGAGATTTTCAATTATTTACCCAACCATCAATTGAAGACCATAATTATGCAATATTCCGATCAATTGTCAATTATTCCAAGACCACTTTCGATGCTTCAAACAATTCGTGATCGAAACGAAATAAACTATCATTAAAGAATTGACGCCAGGAATTTTTTGATTATTTCATTATTGGATAATTATCGCTGCATATTACAAAGTTATCCAATAATTCAAACCGTGCAAACTTTATCAATTTTAAGACTTCATCGTGGGAAAACCCCTGGACCGATTCATTTCAGTGATATTCTGATATCGTTAATCACAATTACATAATTCATTCGTGAAAAATCCTTGTCTGAGAAATTTTCATTTTTTTCTCCAGGACACTTTGGAAAAACCACTGGAGGGATTCACTTCAAAATGAAATCAGGTCTAAATTACATGAAGACCTTCCGATTGTGTTATCGATCATCTTGATCGCACAATTCATTCGGAAGAAATTTTCACACCCACACAATAGGTATTTCGTTCAGATGGGTTTAAAAAAGTTTTAAACATCCTAAAACATGGAGAAATGGTAGTAAAATCTAATGATTCATTTTCGAGGTGATTACAGTAACTACTCGGTAGATTGGGAAGTTGTAAATGGTTAATTTTAATGGGCGATTAACTGGATAATTAAATAATCAATGGTTGAAATTATCCATTAATCAGTTTACTAATCATAATAATAAATAATTAATTGTTGAAATAACCAATTAATTTGATATTTAATAACTTTGTAATTGAATGAACGATTATCAACGTAATTAGGAAGTGTACGTTATTAATTATTTATGGATTGAAGAATCGATCAGTTTTTTGTGATGGTTGAGAATTGATCCGACAATCAGATAATTGGCTATCCTGATTAATGATTATTTGATCAACAAATTAATTTGCGGTTCTCATTCATGTATGAAATGATAATAGTAATTACTGTAGACCTGTCATTTGAGTTAATGAGGCAAACAATTATTCAGTTAGCTCCTATTAGGGTCCACGACTCAGTTTTTACCTAAGAGTTCAGGTAGTACAGCCCTGGATATTTCACGAAAATAATCTTTTCAGTCTTATAGCGCCATCAGGTAACGAAAATTGTTACTGACAATTTTATTCTATAGGTAATAAATGTATTCGATTCCTACAATACCGATGCTGGTTTATCGGCTTGGCGTTGTGGACACTTCGTCCTCGTGGACAGTTTCGCCAGTGCAGTATTTCATTTGTGGACAGTTCTGCTGTGCACAGTAGCGCTCCGTGTACAGATCGGTGTTGTGTATGTACAGTTCTGACTCGGCGGATGTATCTCCCCCTCGTAACTCGTGAAAAAAGTGGTTTTTGGCTCGTGAAATTATTCACTCACCTTCCGCTCGTGATATAAACCTCCCACTCGCCAAAAAACACTTTTTTGCACTCGTTACGAAATATATTATTTCTCTCTCATGAAAAAAAAAAAAATTTATTTGACGGGGATTTGAACTCGCGACGCAAGTAAAATCGGCGTGTGGTGGGAGATCTAATCCGCGTGAGGGGAAGGGACGCAACAGTGCCGCGCGCGGCTTCCATTGGAACTTGTCCCCTGTTTCGGTGTCGGCGACATCAAAGCTTCATCATACCTCCCTGTATCATACTTTATAGGCCTCTGGCCGAGCTGGCTGTCCCAGTAACTAGGATCATCGGTGGTCAGTTTAGGTACTAATAGCGCCAGGGAGCAGCGTATCTTCCAATATGGCGGCCTCCTCGATCTAGAAAACAACCTTTTGTCAACAAACCGAGCGTATATACTCAGAAAATTCAAGGATAATTGCAAAGAAATAATCATCAAAAAATGTACGTTTGCTTTTTCCCCCATTGCAAAAACAAATCTAGATTCAAGATCCCTTGTGGAAAGACATACCCAGAAATCCACAAGAAGTGGTTGGATTTTATTGGTATCGATAAAGTAAACCCTATGTCACGAAAGGGTTTATGCGAGGCTCACTTTACTCCAGATCAATTTATGATTGAAAGTGAAAATACAGGTAAGCATCTCCCCTATATTGTTTCGCTAAGTACAGAACCGGTAGGAATAAATAAATGTCAATGTGTGTATTGATGTATAAATGTCATATTATATTTCAGGAGAAAATTAACGATAACGAAATTGGAAACAAATGCTGTTCCGACAATTACAATTGTTCTACAACTGGATGAGGACATATCAGGTTCGTCAACTCGCGAGAAAAAACAATAAAATCATGTATTTTACATTCTTATTGAATTTTATGTGTTTCCAATAGGAGAAGAAATCACTCTACTTCACTGTTCCACTCCTGATGACGCTTTTTCTTCCCTGCTAGTCCTGGAAAACGCAGGTGGTGAAAGTGCTTTGAACAGGATCGTATCTCTGATCCAATTTTTAAAAAATGTGGAAGTATTCGAGCGCAAGAGCTTGGGGATGAAGAACCTAATGACACATGTAAAGATGCAGAGGAAATGGAGTTGCTAGGAGAAAAGAATGCCGTTCAAAGTACCAAAGCTGATGAACATGGGTTTTTTTTGTTGTGGCCAGGACAATAGAAGTATCTGTCCACAAACTATGGTCCAAAAAAAAGAGACACGAAACCAGGAGATGTAGACTGAACTAATGGGGAGTGCAATAACAAACAAACAGAATTGAAACGCTTCCAGAATCGCTCTGCGCAAACTCGAATGGCCCTTGGATATAATAATCAAGATTTTCGAAATAATGACAAAGCAATTTAGCATTTTACAGGGCTTGAGAATTATCTCAAATTTGAATTTGTATTAGCTTCACTGAGTCCAGAAACTTTTTTTGATGTTTACCTCACGCAATTTTAAACAACAAATTCACTTAATTCAGATGAACAAACACTTCATTGCCCCAACCTCCATATAAGTTGTTATTCATACTTTTCCCTCCAAAATAAAGCAACGCTGCTCCCTGGCGCCATCTGCCCTGAGCTTTGCACGATGATCCTAACTCGTTAGTATCGTCGTCCCGCTGTCACAGGGATAAGTTCAAGGACGGATCTTTGTTCTCCTTGTGCTTAATGTTTTTTTCATGTTTTTCAGCGATTATAAATAATAAATAAGGTCGAAATACATAATTTAAAATTGAAGAATCATAAAAAACCTTTATTAAGAATGTTTTTCCGTATGTAGATACAAGGATAGAGATGGGGGATATAAAATATACCGCCTGTTTTTTTTATGTATAATATTTTTCATTAATCGACTATGAAAGAATAAGAAATTATTAGCGTTAAAAATAGAGGCATCAAACAAAAAGAAAACTGACGCTAATATATATATTTTCATGGACGAATTAAATTTATCAGGATTTCTTATATTCATCTTTTTTTTTAATTCTTTTTTTCCATCTCCTAAGTTATCAATTCGATTAGGAGAAAATTGAGAAATGAAAGTTTAATCAAAAACAATTGAAATTACTTGAGCAATGGGGCAAACATATTCAATAAAGCTCCATTGGCTCTAATGAATATGTATCAAAAAAGGTGATATAAGAATAATAATATAATAATATATCACGCCGCGTGCCGCCAGCGTCTCAGACCCTCATGCGGGTTATTCACATTGTGGTAAGTCCAAGGAGGGGGGATAATTTTTCCTGACCCTTCTGACCCTAAGTCGGATAGCTGAGGGTGCGATGGGGTAATTTTTTTGACCCTTCAGACCCCTAATCGCATTGTGGAAAGTCCAAGCGTGGGGGGAATTGTTCTTTTGACCCTTCTGACCCTAAATCGGATAGCTAAGGGTGCGATGGGGTAATTTTTTTGATCCTTCTGACCCTTAATCGCATTGTGGAAAGTCCAAGCGTGGGAGGAATTTTTTTTGACCCTTCTGACCCTAAATTGA